TCTCCAACTTTCAGCATTCTCCCCAACACTTCCTTTCTTTCCAAAACTCCCTGCAAATCAGAATTAATTGGCTTGTTCTAATTGGTAGAAGGCAAAATTTAGCAACGGAGCATTTGTCCTAATTACCAGAGGCTCACAGGAATCTAGTAGAGATTCATTTTGGTTCCACTAATTACTTTAAAAACAGGCATCATGAGAAACAAAACTATGAGTAACGATTTTAACTAAGTCTACATGATTTGAAGTTCATTTTATATGTCACTACTAAGTCATTCCAGGTTGCTTTCATGGTAGCTATTTTCTTTGGAACTGCCATGGTTTGTTCATTCTGTTTTAATTGGGAATCCACATGATGTCACTGTAGTATTCCAGCTAGTGATTCCTGTTTTGTTCTTCCAAACCTGATTTGAGATTATGACTATTAACACAATTGCACTAAAAAGCTGTCCTGTGTGAGCAGGAAAAGCACCATTGAAGTTCTTCAGTAAATACTGTGCCTTTAATTAAACATTGCCTGTTTTCAAATCCAGACCATTTTATATGTTCTCATTGAGTATAGATTTGTTCCAAATCAAACCTTTGTCTGTTTCTGCAGTGCCCTCCATGTCTATGGGATTGTTCACACACTACAGCTAGCCTGGAGGCAGAGGGGTAAAATTTGGATCCTTTCACTGCTCCAGTTTTCCACTCTTTAAGTTACTGGTTTAATTGAACTTCTTCCTCTCTCATTTTGCTTTTACAGGAAAATAGTGGTATTGCACCATACACCCCCCTCTGAATGACTGCCTGAGGTCAGTAATGGATTGGATGAGGAAAAATAGACTTAAGCTGAATCCAAACAAAATGGAGGTACTCGTGATAGATAACCCTAACCTGGGTATGGAGTTCACCAGTCCTGGATGGGGTCACACTTCCCCTAAAGCACTGTGTTCACAGTCTGAGGGTGCTCTTGGACTGGTCACTTCATCTGTCACCTCAGATTGATGTGACAGCTAGGAGCTCCTGTTATCAGCTT